GTACCGGATCTCGATCAACAGAAGCCTTTCTTTTTCTACAATCTACCTTCCCTATCATAACAATATTACCGATTCTTTTCTGACAAGGGGCTGTTTGTACATTAAGTAGCCCTAATCTTCCTCACGATGTTACATAGGCCTCTTTATATATTATAAGACTTGAGTAAGTGAAATGAGTGGTTTATGGCTGATGAATGTAAGTGTAAATGAATTGTAAGTGTTTAAATAAAAAGGGAGACAGAATTCAATAACTTACATGTACATGTAATTAGCGAGAACAATGTGTAATGTGAACGGTATAAACATGTTTGGATGGACTAGCATGGAGAACAATATGTGATTGCATCGCACGATGAGTCATTCTCACCAGTGGCGTAATGAGCAAAAACGTTTGGGGGAGCTGACAAAAAAAAAATCCGCAGCACCCCACTCTAACATGCAGGCCCCGCTGAACGTTTCGCAAAGTGGGGTCTAGGGGCAAAGCCCCGGCAGGGGTCAAGGGGTGGAGCCCCTATAGGCATCAGTGGCGGATCCCGAGGAATTTCTTACCGGGGGGGGGGGCACAAAATGGCATGGGGTTAAATATAATTATGTAAAACGATGAAGCGACAGAACGAGGCTTTAGCGGCGAGGGAGCGGAGCGACCAAGCGTGGGTGGGTCTGGGAGGGGGTTCTGGCCCCCTCCCAGAGTAAGAAGCATTTGCAATTTTAGAACCAAATTAGTCGCATTTTCAGGCACTTCCTGGAGTAATATGATATAAAATAATTGCTTTCTCCTATCCCTTCCAAGAGTAGGGATCTTTTGCAATTTGAGAACCCCATTTGGCGCATTAATGTCCACCGGCACTTCCTGGAAAAAAAACGAGGCCTTCTGATTGGTTAAAAGTTAGAGAAAAGTGATCTGTCACGTCTTGAGACGTTGTATATGCTTTGATGTTGCACAATGCACAAAGATGGTGGTCCGGTACTTCTTCAGTAGTACTTGCAAAATGTTTCTCGAGTGTATAAACTGTGTCGTTATCAGGGGCGCCGCTAGATCTTTGTCAGTGGGGGAGTGGGGAGGGTGTAGAGGCCACCGATTACCGACAAAACGAGCAACCAATTACCGACAAATATATTAATGCCAATGTCCAAATGTCTACAAATTTAACCCTATAATCCCGGGGCCAGGAACTAAGTTATTTTTCAGTCTCCCCCCTTTGACACTTCATTAAATTATTAGAGAAAGAAAACGATCAGTTGTACCATTCTTGACTCTCAATTCTTGTTTGGATCAAGTTCCCCCCCCCCCCTCCCGCGCGAAGCGCGGCAGTTTTGACGTTTTAATAAATTATTACTCTTAATCCTTGTCTGAATTCATTTTCGCCCACCCCGCGCGAAGCGAGGCAGCTTTGACGATTCATTAAACTATTACTCCTAATCATTGTCTGAATTCATTTTCGTCCATCCCGCGTGAAGCGCGGAAGCTTTCACGTTTCATTACATTATTAGAGAAAGAATACGATTCGTTGTATCGTGTTCTTGTTTAATTTCAGTTTCCCAAATCCTTGTCTGATTTAATTTTCGCCCATCTCGCGCGAAGCGCGGAAGCTTTAACGTTTCAATAAATTATTACTCTTAATCCTTGTCTGAATTCATATTCGCCCTTCCCGCGCGAAGCGCGGAAGCTTTCACGTTTCACTAAATTATCAGAGAAAGAAGACGATTCGGTGTATCGTGTTCTTGTCTGAATTCAGTTCCCCCCCTCCCGCGCAAAGTGCGGAAGCTTTGACACTTCATTAAATTATTAAAGAAGGAAGACGATTCGTTGTACCGTTCTCGCCTCTTAATCCTAGTCTGAATTCAGTTGCCCCCCCTCCCGAAGCGCGGAAGCTTTGCCGTTTCATTCAAAGAAGACGATTCGTTGTACCGTTCACTACTCTTAATCTTGTCTGAATTCAATTTCCCCAATGGGCCCCTTAACGGTACATGTGCAGTGTTACATGGTGTAAGTGTTGAACGCCCGGCAGTGCTTGTCACAGTTGCTTCTGGAAAGGATTTTTTTTTTTACTAGTGTTACTGTTAGTGGCAACGGCCCTTAGTGACTATAAAAAAAAAACATATGCTCTTCCTGGCCTTTTGGGAATGTGTCAGTTTGCAACATAAATGGAGAAACGCGCATTTTGTTGAAAATCATGTGATATCACGAACATTTATACACCATTTGTATATGGAATTGAAAATAAGTCATGGTTCAATTTTATTTATTTATTTATTTATTTATTTATTTATTTATTTATTTATTATTTTTTTTATTTTTATTATTATTATTATTATTATTTTTATTTTTTTTTGGGGGGGGGGGGGGGGGGGGGCTGGCGCCCCCAATCCCCCCCCCCCCCCACCAGTACGCCAGTGATTCTCACCGATCCCCATGTGAACAATGCTGCCTGGAAGACATAGTGGCAGCAAATGAGAAGGCCCTTCAGTGTGCAAGAGCCTGGAAGATCATTTGAGCTTAGATGATGGACACGAAAGAAAATGGTTGAATATTCATTTGCGAACGAGCGAAGCAGTAGATGAAGTAGTTCGTTGAAATTAAGATTTTCTTATATTCATTTGGAAATGTGGTGCCTATACAATTTGGTATCGACATTTCTAAAGATATCTCTTCTATCGTCTTCTTTTTCAAGACGTTCATTCTGTTGCTTCAAGCTAATTCTTCTATTTACCGCCAAAAAAGAGCGCAATGAAGTGAGTCTCCAATTTATTTTCAATTATATCATTAAAATTGAATAGTATGATTGTTTTCATGAAAGTGCAAGGCCATTCCCGTCTTTGAAAAATTCTTTTATCCTGATAAAGGTCAGTTGCAAAATAGAGGTTTCCTTTGTTGAACAACCTTCCGGAGCTTCGGAGCTAGAAATATTGAATGCTTATGATATTTATTTGAAAAATTATGTATTTGAAATCCACTATGTATTAATTTGAAAAGAGTAACGAATCTGGTTATGAAAAACGATTGTCATTGACGATGAAGAAACATCGTCTTCAGCTCCACTATAGCAAAGTAATTTTAACTATTCGATGAAAGCATAATGGTTTGAATATCTGAATGCATGAGTTTTACAAATAAGTTTCATGAATTTTTTTTGCAGTATATAAGCGACGAAAAAGATCCTTCACATCTTTTAGCTTCCATTTTTTTTATAATGATTTTTGATGATTTTAAAGATACTATGTCCCTTTTGCAGCGAACATCAAATTCTGTAGAACTTTGCAGGAATTATGAATATGTCATGTATGTCCTATCTGTAAAAAATTAAACGTTTCTACCAGTTTCCTAATATTCAAGTCATGCAGGGAAACCCGTTTACTTCCTAGACTTCACTGTCAGATACTATTGAGTGACTGACTGGCCTTTTTCTTCTTAAATAATAACATACATAACATGAGCTGTAAAGGGTACATGAGCATTTGTCCGCACCAATAACCCACTTCTTGTAATGGCGAAAATTAAACTGATTGAATCTTTGCGCAGCACAAAAAGTACGACCATTCGGTACAATAGTCTGAAAATCAGACTATTACTTACTGACTTGGTAGCACTTAAGTGAATTCGACAACTTATAGTCGTTATTTTCCCACTTAAAGACTTTTTCGAGCCCCCCCCTTTTTTTTTAGGGAAGTTCTAAATTAGTATTATCTTTCAAATGCCGTTGGAATTCAACCTTTTCATTTGTTGGCCTGCAAATGGGACATAGTACCTTTAATACCCTTTACTGAATAACATTCAGATGAAATATGTTTACCAAAGTTTACTTTACACAACAGAATTATAAAAGACATTTTGCATATATACGGTTATAGTAGACTTTGACAAAAACTATAATCAGCGGCACGTACAATAGGCGCAAAATATACCATGACGTCATTCCATGATAGTTAATTCACTCTCTACTTAATTGTAATGATTTCATTTAAAGGCCTTAAAGCTGAGTTCAATAAATAGACAACAAAATAGATCGTCAGATACTTTTCACCAGTAATTTGACAATTATAGACCTTAGCGCACTGAGTACGGGCAGTAAGGAAGCTGCGAACACCAGTAGAATAAGCTTGTTGACTACAATCAAATGATTCACCCGATCAAAGGCCTTGGTGAAATCAATGGTAGCTAGATCGTAATGGCCATGTTTGTCAAGGCTTTCATTAAGGACAAATTTAAGCAAGTAAACAAGATAGTGTACAGTACGTGGAACAACCCTTAACATTTCCAACTGTTTCTTATCAACGTGGATTGATATATCCTCCACTACCCACTTTGCGACAAAATTGATTCGAGTGTCCAAGAAAACGAAGGCCTTAACGTCGCCATCCGAAAGATGTGACTCAGTTTCGAACCTGCGTCCTCTGCTAAATCAGTTTGTAACGTCCATTGTTAGCTGGATAACAGGCGCACGCCACAACGCCTAGTAAGTACATGCATTGACTGAGCTGATTCCTCCTCTCTGGTCTTTCCTGCATCCGACTCTCAAGGTGAGTGTTCATGAAGGTCACCTTCACCCCATAACAGGCGATATACAGTGGATGAGCATTTGATTGGATTATACCGCCAATAGAAAGCAAGTATATTCTTAGGTGAGCAACGTGGGGGAGGGCAAGAGTCCTTTCTACATTGGTAAATATTCGTGTCTTATTATTGAATCGCACCTGCTAGTACAGGACTCGGTTTTGAACCCAGGTCCTCACGGTTACAATAGGGACTTTTAGATTTACACGACGAGAGCGTGGACTGCCGCGTGTGACATTGTGCTAAAGGCACTGGGCCGTGCCCGGCAGTGCCTTAAAAGGAGGTCACATTACCTTTAAAAATGTCACACGTGGCGGTCCACGTTCTCGTCGTGTAAATCTAAAAGTCCCTAATGCCACTGGTCTACTACTACTCGACCACTAGCTCCTATAACGCTGTCTTATAAGCATAAAAGAGAAGAAAAGACAACAACATAAACAGATGAACCTACCATCCTTATTTGCTTATATGCATTTAATGAGCGTTTGCTATTAAATTTCGTGGTCTCGCAATTCGAGTCCTACTGGCGGCATTAGTGTTATTCGGCAAAAAATGTATCTACAATTTACATTTGTTCCAATCCAGGTGCAGTCCCGGTATGAAGCGAGGTGTCATTCAAATACAGATTATAATAATCATGATTGCGTAATAGCTTTACTTATTAATGTACTCTTGATTAAAAGAAATAATTTTAAATTTTAGTCAGCAAGTCATTTTAGGGATCGATTCGAGTTTAGTGGAATCTGTTCCAGAGTAGCTGTTGAATATCTCTTATTGAGAGTGCATCTCTCAACTACAATATCTGAGCGTAAACTCTAAACGAAGAGATCCCCCACTGACATGACCACCCCAAAGTTTTGGAATTCTTCTTCAATCTGAAATCGTCCAGTCACCTTTACAATAAGCAGGTTTCTCCCAAGCTTGGTGTTCGGGAAAGAGTGGATTTTGGTGTGAAGCATGTTGATTTCCGATGACCGCTTGACCAATGTGAGGATGAAGTATGCATTCTGTTCACCTCCAGGAACTAGTTGGTACAAGGATCCCAAACGATCTTGGATGAAATGAAGTGTCTTAGAGATAATCTCTTGGAGGAAGATGACATCGGGGAAAAGACTAAAGAAGAAAAAGAAGTAGGATGTCATTGAAATTATTGAAAAACTTTATATATAAAAGCACATTGAACATAGCAGCCATTTGGCTGAAACAAATTTTATTCACATATATAAATGGTTACCGAAAATTCCAGTAAACTATAATACATTAAAAAAAATGAATCAATAAAATGCAGTAATACACAAAAAGAAATTACGTTTCCAATTAAAATTAACATAATATGAACACGAAACTAGAGACATTGATTGATAGAAGAACGAAAAGTTAGGTGGTGTAATTTTACACTGAACAATTGCTCGTTAATGTTGTGTCCAGAATCTGGCCAGTTCTTATATATATTTTTTTTCTTCAATAATATTTTATTTTCTCCATTGCTTTTCACAAACAATAACAAAAATTATAATAACAAACATTAACAAAATCAATGCATAAAATAATCTGCATGTTAATATTATTATATAGAATATGATTTTACATTCACAGCTAAATAATACAAAAGAACTTTTACTATTTACATCAAATAAAGCATGAAACATGCATGCATAAAGAAGGCATGAACATAAAAAGGCATTAAAAAATATTTAAAAAAAACAAAACAAAAACTATTATATACCTATGTAATTCATGTATACACGGTATAAACATTACATACAATATACTACGCAATAACTAAACTAAACTTTTGAGAACTTAAAAGTTGCATCGGTTTGCGACTTTGAAATATTGTAACAGAAAAGACCAATGGCAATGAGTGTTTAAGATATTCCTATAATGTTTTAAACAAAAGATGGCGCTAGACCACATTTGACAAGTTTTTTTTCTTTTCTCTTTCTCTCTCTCTCCAATGATATTTCATTTTCTCCATTGTTTTTCACACACAATAACAAAATCAATACATAAAATAATCTGCATGTTAATATTATTATACAGAATATGATTTTACATTCACATCTAAATAATACAAATGAACTTTTGCAATTTACATCAAATAAAGCATGAAACATGCATGCATGAAGAAGGCATGAACATAAAAAGACATTTAAGAGAGAGAGAAAAAAAAATACTTACATTTATCTCTATATTATCCACCACAAGCCGCCGAAGATGGCGTTATAACATACCCGTACACCCAGCCAAAGAAAGATTTTTGTTTTTTCGCAGAGCTTAGAAATTTGGGGATCACGCCATCTTCGGCTTGCAGCAAGAAGGGGGGGGGGGGGGGACCGCGGTGGTCACAAGAAACTGACGAAAAAGAAGAAGTTTAGAATGGGTGAAAGAGAAGGAGAATAAGAGAAAGAGAGAGATAAAGAAGACAGAAGGAAAAAAAGAAAGAAAGACGGATAAGAAATTATGAGAATCATGAAAGGGTGGAAGGGGGAGATAAAGAGATGGAGAGAGGAGGGGTGGGGAAAGAATTAGGGTCATTGTATTACTATGATCAAAATTTGAAGCAGTAGCAGGGACAGTGTCAAATATTGTAAAACAGCAGTGTCATATTCTTTTCGTGACAAATTATTGTTTAAAAAATGAACCATCATCCGTGTGTTTAAACACATACGTTACCATTTCTTCAATATTGCGGGAGTTAAAATGCTCCTTGGAATAAACAATAATATACAATTTCATTTATTAAGGACTTGATTTAACACCGACTTTCGGTACGCCACGACTGAAAGTTATCTGGTCCTACATATCAAGTTACTGACATATTTAACGAATTTCTATAAATACCTTTCTAGGGTGTCACATATACTGCACTTGTCCTCGCTAAAGTGTCTCGGTTGCCCAGTCCGTAAATGTTCCATGTCACCAGACGAAGTCGTTTCGATGTCGCACTCAATGATGGCGCCTTGGCCTTCAACGATGTCGACGTTACTTTATTGGAGTCCGATGATGATTCTGTTGTCTCGGTAGATTCAGGCATCTTGGCTATGGTTTCTTTCGCTTCTATGTTACCCATGATCTGATTCTTCTGCGTAATAAAATAAGTATAAGTTTTACAGTACTGCCTGCTGTTTCCATTACTA